AAAAAAAGAAAGAAAGACAGAAAGGAAAAAAAGGAAAAAATCATGCGAGGGGATAGTTTTAAGTTGAGTTTAGTTCTAGTTGAGTTGCAGAGTAGACCTCAACGAGTGCGCTTGCTTTCCTATTGTTTTTTGATTGTACGGCTGAGCCGTGGTTGTTTTTTTTCGTTTTTCTGATATATGGGCTCAAACTGCAAATTGACCATTAAAAAATGTCAAAAGAAAAGAAATAAATAGAAAAATACGCGAAAGAAAAATTTTGTGCAATTGAAATTTTAAATAAATTAACTCGGAAAATATCGAAATTCATAAAAAAGGGATAAATTTTAATTAACACCTCAAAAAAGAAGGATAAATTTTAATTAGAACCTCAAAGTAAAGCGACAAAAGCGACGTGAATGACGTCAATGTGTCTTTAGCTAAAATTAGCAAAAATTAAACCACAAAAGTGAAGTCTAAACCGTTTTTTTATTAAAGAAAAAAAAGAGGAGTAACAAAAAAAACACAATAAAGAAAAAAAAGGAAGGTGGAACAATTAGAAGAAGCATAAGAGAATCAAGGCAAGGGTAATGGCTGCACCGTTCTTTGAATACGTTTTTTTGTCGAACAAGAAGCAAAAGGTTTTCTTATCAAGTGAATAACGTAGAAGATTATTGGTTAAAGGTGACCTTTATGAACAAATGGTCGTGAAGTATTAATGAAGTATTGTGGAAAGTTATAGCAGAACAATGTTTTATAATAAAAAGAAATAGCCAACCATTTATATAAAAAAAAAAAAGAAGGAAAAAAATAAATAACCAATACAGCAACTTGACAAAGTAAACGCAATTGGAGTAAAGAAAAGAAAACTACACGGATTAAGAAATTTGTTCGGAAGAGAAATTAATTAGATAAGATCAAGAAAATTGTAAAAATTATTTATAACAACTCAGGAAATTGCTAATAAAAAAGTTCTTCAACATTATCATCAAAAAGATCCCAGTTTATTATTGCAAACAGCGCTTACCCGCGTGCACCTACGCACACAGCAATGGAAATTAAAGTTTGTATTGGAGTGGAAAAGGCTTAATAGAAAGAGGAGCAGAGATTGCCGATGTAGCAGCTACCGCGGCCGACACTGCACCGACGCCGATGCTTGTATTGTAAGTCATTTTTAGTCTATTTAATTTCTTTGTCCCCGATGAGTGGCTAAGCGCGAGCTGCCACCGCTGTGGCTGAGACGAAGGGGTGTACATATGATGGCACTGTAGGGAGGACTCCAGACGGTTACAGACTGACTTACGGTGGACAGACGGACGGTAGACAACCGACGGGACCTATTCATCTTTTTCTTTGTCAGGAAAATATAAATGCTCTGCCGATATAGCTAAGACCGTGACAAAGGTGTATATAAGCGGGAGAAAACCGACGATGCCACAGCAAGCAAGAAACCACCCTTAAGCCTACCATATCAACATTTTGTATATCAATCTCATACTTAGGTTTTCCCATAACGAATACGTTTTTAATGGATTCTGAGCGGATATTCTCTGTAACAAATCCTGGCTGCTGAAGTGGTTTCCGCCCACATTCATGTTCGCACTTCTTTTCTAATTCTTTACAGACTCATTTAATGAATCTGCCCATTTTTCTACGAGGAAGCCACAAAATTTGCATAAATAACGAAACACTTGTTTTTATAACAAACTTTTGGATTAGGTACATAAAATTTGACCTTAAAAAAGTGTTAAGTAATCTAGCATATGACAATCTGGTTGGCCGTACTCTTGGCATTGTGTGTATCGTAGCATAAATTGCAGCAATTACTTTAAATATTAGTAGTAGTTCATAAAAAAAGAAATAAAAAATTTGGTTCGGTACGGATGTAATTTTTTGATATTCACTATGCACTTGTCTCTTAGGAACACTAATTGACACTAAAGAAAATTATTTTTATCTTATATAAGTCTAAAGGGTAAAAAAACATAGATGGGGTCTGTGTTGACGAAAAATTACCAAAGTTTTTGCAGCATTACTCCGCAAATCAAACTTACATGACCATATCTGATAAAGATAATTAACTACCGTACCGGATTACGTACGGTAAAGAAATGAATGATACAAAGGAATTTATAATTCTCAAGTTGTTATAAACAAATTTTGGATAAGTACAGATATTTGATCGAAATTCACCAGAGGAAAGGGCTAGAAATTGAAATTCCAAACAAATTTTTCAAAAGTAAAAAATGGAAAAAATCCACATTTATCATTTCGTTATTATAACATGCGCAAAATATATATTTGGTTAATAGTTCCCTTAAGTTCCCGAAAGGTGATTTATCGTACTATTTTATTGGAAAGGTTTCAAATGGATTTTATGGCATTTTTAGACTTGACAAATTACTACTTGCCGTTTTCTTTATCATGAATATTCAAACTCAATTCTGAAACTTTACATTATAATATTATTTTTTACAGTTGCTATGGTAGATACATTCAGAAGAGATATTTTGACATTTGAAAATTAACTGCCTCGAGTTTATCGGGGAAAATTTTGTTATTCATATTCAAAGTTGAAGGGAGTTCTCTTTGGCTGAGCCCTTAACGAATATTAAGGGCACTCTAGTGAAAAAATATACTTAGATAAGCTAACCTTGTTCAGAAAAACGATTTTCTTGAAAATAAGCCACTGGACGAAATTTTCCAATGTCACGTGATAAGCTTGCAAATACAAACAACGTCGTAAAGCAATAATAAAAAATTATCCTAGAATCCAAAAAAAATTTATAATTTCACGTTTTTTAATAACAACTTAGATACAGCAAAATATTTATATTTGACCTGTCTTATTGGTTACGGTTACATACTTGATTAAATTTATATATAGAACTATCACATACTTTTTATATTCTCCAAATTTATTTATTAAAGGGTAACAAAAACAAACGATAGTGAAACGATAGAAATTCGGGCGAAAATGCTTCTTCCTTTTGTTGCAGTAGAAGAAAAGTATATCCTTATTTGCCTAATTTCTAAAAATTATCCTTCGCTTTTAAATAAAGGTAAGATATCTTAATATATATAGAATATATATAATAGACGTAAGCTTCAAGAGTATAAAATTCAAATTAAGCTATGTTTTCGATACGGAGACGAGGAGAGTTTTTTTAGCCTCAAAGAAGAACAGTTATGTTAGCAATGAACCATGGAAATATATTAGGTAGGGGAAGAAGAAATCCATTATTTTTATATGAACTTCAGGACTTTATTTAACATGCTTCGGATTGTCCGATTTGGGTCAAATATGCACCGTTTTGTTGTATGATTTGTTGCCATTTTAAAGGCAACTTCAAAATGCCTCTCTCATAGAAGTCCTGGTCTCTATTTGCAAAAAACTCTAGTAGTCGATTTTCACAATCCTCCCTAGGTTCCAATTTTTTATCATTAAAGAAATTTTGCAATGCAAGAAAAAGATGATAATCGCTTGGTGCCAAGTCCAGACTGTATGGCGGATGCTTTAAAACTTCCCAACCAAGCTCCCGAAGTTTCTAGCGAGTCACTGTCGATGTGTGTGGCCTAGTGTTGTCCTGGTGGAACACGACACCTCTCCTGTTGGCCAATTCTGGCCGTTTCTGGTCAATCGCTATCTTCAAACGGTCCAGTTGTTGACAGTAGATATCAGAATTTAGCGTTTGGCCATATGGAAGCAACTCATAATAAAGAATCCCCTTCCAGTCCCATCAAATGCATAGCAAAACCTTCCTGGCCGTTTGAGGTGCTTCACCGCTCTTTGACCACGATCGTTTTCGCACAGGGTTATCGTATGTGATCCATTTCTCATCTCTAGTCACCATCCGTTTAAGAAATGGGTCTATGTCATTCCGTTTGGCCAAGGCTTCGCAGATGGAAATTCGATCCATCATGTTTTTTTCTGTTAATTGGTGTGGCACCCAAACATGGAGCTTCTTTTTGAATCCAGCTTTGTGTAAATGGTTTAAAACTGTTTTATGGTCGATTTTTAGCTCCTGGGCGATGTTACGACTGCTAATATGCCGGTCAACTTCGATCATTTGTCCGATTTTATCGACATTTTCGACGACCGGCCTACCTGTGCGAGGCGCATCTTTACCATCAAAAATTCCTGAACGGAATCTACGAAACCAAAATTGCACATAATTGGCTGTCACAGTATCGGAACCATAAACACCATTCACAATTTTAGCCGCCTGGCTTGCATTTGCGCCTTTGTCAAAGAAAAACTGTAAAATGTACCGAATTTTCTCTTTGTTCACTTCCATTTTTAACACGCTGTAACTCACAACTGAATGCACCAAACAAAAAACAACAAAAGAATTTTTTTTACTGCGAAATGTCACCTTTTCAACGAGCATAAATCTGAAATTGTTCGATCGATACTTTACGAGAAATCTATCAGTGCAGCCATCTACCGAAAAAATAATGGATTTCTTTTTCCTCAACCTAATATATATATAATATTATTATTATTATTATTATTTTAATTTTAGACTAATGAATTGAATTCTTAGACTAAAAAAAAAGACATTGAGCACTAGCAACACAGGCTATCGGCTCTAATTTAAATAAATGGATATTAGATAATAAGCTTAGTAGTATTAATAAAGTAAAATATTGAATTGATATTCTGTTCTGAAGCTGATTGTAGAATGTTCAAAGGGTTAATCGTTCCAAATGCAATACTTCTAGCCAAGGAAAAGTTGAGGCGGTCGCAGAGAATGTGCTTTATAGTAAGAGTTTGTCCACAACAGCAGATTGGGGGAGAAGACTTCTTCAGGATCCATTGGTGAGTTGCAATTGTATGACCAAGGCGAATTCTCGAAAATGTTTGGATCTTGGTTTTCTCAACGTTTGTTGGATATAGAGGTGGAGTTAATTGAAGGTTAATGCAAGAGTAGTGTTGATGATGGTATTGTAAATTTCCTTCTGCAATTTTCTCTTTAACTTTTCTTCTAATGTATCTTTGAAGATCCAACTTTTCCATGACATCATCCATCTACCGAAAAAATAATGGATTTCTTTTTCCTCAACCTAATATATATATAATATTAAATACTTACAATAATGAACTTTGGTTCAACTTAACAAGGCTATGCACTAATTAATTAGAACAACTACATCGTTGGTAAAAAAATGTTCGCACATTCGAATAACTTCAATTTGCTCTATTTTTATTGTTACATTTACACTGAGTACATGAAGTTATCTCTAAAAAGTTCTTTTAGTTATAAGTACTTAAACGATGTTCTTCAGGTTAATTGGCCTTTTGGATGAAAAAAAATTTAAGTTTTTTAGAAATGAAGCGAAGTATTTAATGGAAAGTGTTGAGTTGAATCAAAACCAAAGGAAGGAAAATATCGACGAGCCCATCAACCCCGTTTTCCCATTTTTGGTTGGCAATAAATGTGAGTGTAAAATTGGAAATCGACATTCGCCGTCGGTCGTGTTAAATTTATGTGAAAATTTTTTCGTTCGTAATTGCTCAACTATTCTAAGCGCTTTCTTAAATGAATTAAAAATATGCGATTTAAATTCCAGCGTTCTATTCTAAATTTTGACAAATTCAGATTACAGAAAGATAAACATAATTCAATTCACAATAGTTAAGCACAAAAAGTCATTTATAAATCGAAGACCTCTGTGTTTACCTATATTTTTGAAATGGCTTACTTTATATTTTTGAAATGTCACAATCGCTAATGTAACGATTAACAATATTTGCTTACTTTTCACTTGAACTAATTTTTGGATATTTCAAAATTGCTCGTGTGCTCTATATTAATTATTTTCAATTCGATCTTAATGGCATTATAGTATAGTGCTGATGCTGGTGTGATTGTTGAGCATGTTGCATGATTATTTGTTGCTGCTGAGGCTGATTTTGAATATTACCTGTTTGATTTGGGGTAGAAGATTGATTTGCATTATATTGGCCCATTGATATCGTAGAAGCTTGGGAGGCGACTACTGGTGCAGAAACCTTACGTTCGGATTGAGTTCGTAAAGGTGGTGTAGTTACAGAGTTTGGATGTGGAGGAGGGGCATATAAGAGCACGGGAGGAGGTTCAGTGCGTGCAGGTGGTGTAACCGACGAACTAGGATAGGAACCATAAGAACTGTCATCAGATTGTGCCGACTGTCCGCGATTGCCCGGCATAGTCATGCCGTACACTGTTTCGGGACGACGATCGAATTTGAGATGACCATCGTTAGGATTAGGATTGAGACGTGTGCCGTAAACTGCTTGAAAACATGCTTGATTTTCTTGAGCAGTTTGTCCTTGTTGGGCAGCTACCGGTTGGCTTTGTTGCATGTGCTGTGGCGCTTGTTGAGGCTGTTGATGACGTTGCTGCTGCTGTTGTTGTTTGATTTGAGTGGAATGTTGCTGTTGTTGTTGTTGAAGCTGATTTTGCCTTAGGCTACGTATGGCATATACACTTTCTGAACGTTGCTGCAGTTGATTTTGGACATTCTGATTTTGTAAATGCGATGATTGAGCCCGGTGTTGACTAAAACCCAATCTCAAAGGGTACAGACTTTGAGCCGGCACTAATGGTCCAGAACGCGGCACTATATCGCGATTGAGTGCAGTATTACTCTTTGCGTACACCGATTGCGAGCGATTCAGATTAGTACGCATCAAAGTAGGCGAACGGCAATACATTGAACGAGTGCCACCATATAAAGGCTCGGATTGCTCAAATTTATTTAAAAGCGGCGGAGTTGTGTACAGATTCTGGCAATAGTTTCCACCGTTACTCTTACCCGAATTGGTATTCGATTGCCCATGGCCGCTAGTTGCTTGCGCTGTTGGATATGTGCCCTGAAATTTATTGTGCATATTCGGTTTTTCCATATCCAAATCATAATTCAAGTCGTCTTCCGAGTTGATCGATGATGTATCATTTTCCATGTTGATTTTAATACGGCGAACGTTGCGGCGTGTATTAAATATGTATTCATAGACAAGGCCAGATGCAAAACCGCCTATAAGCGGACCAAACCAGTACACCCAGTGATTTTCCCATTTGTTCAGTACAAACGATGGGCCCAACGACCTTGCAGGGTTGAGGTATGGCATCTACAATTAAAATGCGCACATAAGTAACATTGTATGACAGAAATCGACGAGAAATTATATCTAAAATCAACAAAAGTGAAATAATTATATTCGACTGGAGACGAATCTTGCATGTCTATCATCATTCATTACATCATATCGATACTAATTTTACATTCTCATATTGGGGAGAGCATGATATAGAGTGTTTAATGGTCGACAGTAGAAACTAAAGTATTTTTCATTGTTTTAAACTAATAAAATAAATAATTAGACTACCCGAAAGAAAGTTGAACGCTAGCAACCCATTGGCTTCATTTTTGAAAAGAAGATGCGATATAATTTTCCTTTCTTTTATGTACTGTTTCTTACCGGCTGGAAAGGATGAAAGAATTGTATAGACGTACAATTTGGAATATCGCACTTTAATAGTATTGTGCTGTTTCGTTAAGTAACATCAAGTATTGTCAAATCTTCATTCGCGCCGAAGACCACAGATATATTTTAAAGAAAAGTGCTAAAGATAACGAATAGTTTCTAACTAACGATGAAAACCGGACATTATATTCATTTTGTCACTCCGTTTGCAACATGTGAACATGTGTGTGTTTAAAGTACGTATATTTGTGACAAGCATCAAATTCAAAATCGACTTAAGCATGTCCGTCTGTGATGAAAATGAAGCCATCGGCTTGGAATTCTGTAGAAACATTCCAAGTCCTGGCACACAGATTATTCAAGCCACATTTGTGGCCATTTTTTATTCTCCTATTCATAGTTTTCTGTTAAAACGCTTATACATTTAAATAAAGTCGAAAAATGATTTGCTCTAAAAACTATATTATATGCAAACGGTAAAGAAATTTTGATTCTTAGTGCTTGCTGAATTTTTTTCGTGAAGAACTGGAGAAATGTTTTATTTTGAAGAAAAATTACATATCTCTTCTTTCTGTTTTCGAAAGACATTCTTTTAATACATTAAATTAGTTGTGGAGCAGTATTGGGACTCAAAATTGGTTTTTCCGGGGACTCTATTTGAAAAAAACAGATATAAGGAAATTTATGAGAAAGCAGTGAAACTCGTAAATGAAGAAAATAAAAATGATCCAGTAGATGATCCGTATAAATCGCACTACACGGCTAGGAATCCGCTATTGGAAATGAAAGAAATGCTCAAAAATTCGCTGGTGTCGGTTTTAGCCGAAGAAGCAGATGATGGTAAAGATGATATAGTTTATCAGATCATTGAAGAGTTCGTTTGTCGAGATCTTAACAGGATTTATTTGTTTACTAAAGAGACAAGCTTAGGTGAAAATTCGCTTAGAGAATGCATTGATCTGATAAAAGGGAAGAAGACCTGACCAGAATCCATAATAGCTTATATGGCAGCTGTCAACAAGCTGGTTATGTCAAAGGCTACTAATTTCCTAACGGAATAAATAAGGAAAAAAGTAAGGAAACATTTTATTTTTGGCCAGGGTATTACAAATAAGTTAGTTGAATGGATGACAATAGAACCAGATCAAAATCAGTGCTTTGGTAATTGATATATTTGTACAATTTCTTATGTCCCATCGAATTTAATGAAGCTAAGGTTAATTCGATCCAAATTCTATTACTAAAACTTTTAATTTATTACGGAAATGCCACTAAAGTAAAATAAAGAGACTAATAAATTATTTTATGAGTAAATTAAGTTTTTGGAGTGTTTAATTGCATTTTGTGGTTTTTGATGAATTTGGCGCAAGAACAAGAATTATAAAAATTATGTGAGCAAGAGGAAGAATTGAATTTTAAAATATTTGACGATCCGTAAATTATGTGAGCGAGAGAAAGAATTGTAAAAATTGTATTCAGCTGTCAAGTAAGAAAACCATTTTTTTTAAAATCTTTTATTAGTTTTGGGAAGCTAATGGGGCCTGTCGCAAGATTTAAACTGAATACACCTGTGTTTTTATATGCAAAGAAAGGATTTTAACTCGTTACTCACAAACTACAATAGGTAAAACTACAAAAATTTGTGCGTATACTCCATGGATGATCCTACAGAGTCCCTCAAAAAATGTAAAAAACCCGAAATTTTATTTCTTTTGGATTTGTTTTTATTTCCTTTGGAAAAGTTGGTAGATATAAAGAATACGGTAACAGGCCAAAATAATTTTCATACTGGTCAAAATTTCTTGATTACAACGTCATGCTATTGCTGTTTCATTCAACATTTTACAGAAAAGAGTCCTCAAAAAATGTTAAGACATATTTTTGACAAAATTTTGGTGCTTTTTGTTTATCTTAAGGTTATACTAAAACAAAAATAATGGAAATCAATATGTAAAAAAGTAGTATTTTTCAAATAAGATTCTTTTGCAAAGAGAAACATATAAACTTAACAAGAAACTCGTAGAACGGAAAGGAATGCCTTCCCGGTCGATTTTCTGTAAACTTACCGATACGAAACTGCAAGCGCTGTAAGAGGCTGCTATTGAAGGGGCTGAATTGCCCATAACTTTCTTGACCGAATCCGTAGAAATGAAGTATGTTAACACTACCACGAAAGTCAAAATGAATTCCACACCCAAACGTTCCCACGCAGCCAATGAGGCATTATGTGAAATAGCTGCTTGCAAATTGCCTTGGTAACCGGGTACAGTCACACTACATGCATATATATAAAAACAAAAAACGAACAAAATGTTTACAGTTAATAAAAATTCATTCAAACATTCTCTTGTCCAAAAAGGTAAATATATAACATAAAAAATAAGCCGTAAGTTCATCATATTTTTCAATGTTTCTCTATATGATGGGCACACATGTACTCACCTCACAACCAAAAAAGTGTTAAATGTTTTTTTTTGTATTATATGTTGTGTACTCGTTTAGTAATTGAAATATGCTGCAGCACTTAATTTTTTATACGGTTCGTTTTTAACTCTATTCTTTAACCCTAAGACTGAGGAATCTATGAAAAAATGCTCATAGAAAGCATAACGTGTCAAACACTAAATTCAACTATATGAAAAAAAATGTGAACGCTTAAACCTGTCCGTTCTCTAGTTCTTCACTTGGGGATAATCTATAACTTATATATTTTTTACAAAAAAATGGTAAATTTTCAGCATATTTCTAGATTAATTGAGAGCATCCACTAAAATGGACCAAGTTCGCTAATGGACCTAATGTGCCAACCTAAGCACACTACAAGCAAATAACAAAAAACCCGAAAATGTCGGAGCTTTTTGCGATTTTGGCCAAAAAGAAATCGCCCCAATACGGTAGAATCACATAACATAATATTATGCAAATTAATATTGTATATTATAAAATCACAATTTTCTGTTAACAATTATTATGAAGAAAAAATTAAAAAATAGCCATTCATTTATTGCTAAGCTGATGTTTTTGCTTCGTCTTTCTTCCCTTTGTTATATAAGAAAATTTCACAAAATTCCACTTCGGAACAAACGTTTTTGCAAAGCTTTGATCATCATATACAATACGGGTACACCAGCAATTTTGAAATGCACCTCGAAGCCGTTAGACATGAGATTTATTTCAGCAAGGGATTGATACGATTGCCTTAAATACCGACTTGCGCGAGAAAACCCGCTACTTGTCGCAGGTGACTTTAATGCTTGGGCAAGTGACTGGAGTAGCTAATGGACGAACGCAAAGGGCAAAGTCTCACTTGAATGCTTAACCTCGCTCGATATGACTACCTTAATCGTAGATTCTGAAAACACTTTCTACAGAGGCGGTCGTGTTTCCGCGATCGATATTAACACGGCTAGTAGCGCGTTGACCCCGATGATGGCGTGAAGCATTAGTAATGTCTATGACTACAGCGACCACTTAGCAATAATTTGTGAGCTCAAATAGAATCAAGGTGGGTAGGATATGAAACGGCCTCTGAAGGCCCCCAAATGGAAAGCAGAATCGTTAGATAAGTAACTATTTGGGCACATGTTGGAGGAAGCAGGACCTCGAAACTCGGCGAAGGTTTTCGTTACAAAACTTATGAGACGAATTATAGTAGCTTGTGAGGGATTAATGGCAAGTTGTTGTTTCCATAAGCGCAAGATGTTGTTTCTAATGCACTGGTGTACCGACAAGATAGCCGATCTGAAAGCTCAACTCAACAGATCGCGAAGAATACACCAAACATCGAAGAGGACTTGGGCGTATCGCAGCTGTCAGGAGGAATAAGAGAGGCGCAGCCAATTTAAAAAACCAATTATGGACGGTGAGAAAAATTGTTTCCAAACTCTGATCGAAGAGTTAAAGGAGCACTCATGTGTCCTGGCATATAAACTGGTTACGAAGAAGATTAAACATTCAAACCAACCAATGTGTCCAGAGTTTGTATACTCTTGGTTTCCCACAAAAAACCACATTTATATACGTGCCATGGACAAACGTGAAGAAAAACATTAGATTCACCTGGCCTGAGGAATTTGTTGCCATCGCAAAGAAAATAAAAGATAAGAAGCCGCATGTTACCGACGGTATCCCGAACTGGAGTATAAAGCAGACAATTTTGGCAAAGCCCGCGATATTTGTGAACAGATTCAATGCACGCTTCGGTGAACAAATTTTCGTGGAAGAGTGGAAACAACAAATACTAGTGCTATTGCCAAACCCAAATAAGCAGCCGCATGGACCAGCGGCGTACCGACCGAATTGTCTGTGTGCAGGCGATGTGCATGAGAACTTAAATCGAAACGGGATAGAAGAATCGCTAGAGAGCTCCAACGGCTTGCCGAAATTCCACTTTAGTTTCAGGAGGTAGAGGAGCCCTTTAAATGCAATAAAGATAGTCACATGTATAGTCAGGCTATAGAAGGGAAACGTCGGATGGACGGCGACAAAAACAATCGCTTAGTAATAACGTTAGACATTAAAAATGCTTCCAACTCAGCAAATTGGTACCTCGACATAACGGTCATTCAGCAGAGAAAAGTTCAACTACCTTATCTTATCAATATAGTGGCTAGCTGCTTTACTGACAGGAAACTACGATACGAAACAGCAAAAGGGTGCAGAGAAGGGCTGGTCGCTGAAAGGGTACCTCAGGGATCAGACCTAGGCCCCACACTATGAAATCAAATGTACGATGACATTCTGAGATTAGCATTTGTAACGTCCGTGTACAACTGTAGCGTAGGTGTTCCGTCGGTCTGCTTTGACCACCACTCTATCACAACAGAGTAAGTAAGACCGTAACAACGGTCTGCCGTTAGGGAAAATCGTATTTGCAAGAATAACGGCTTGCTGTTATGCGAAGAAAAAAAAAGAGGAAAGAACATAGAAACAAACCCTTGGTCATAATGGTGTCTTTTGCTAAATCACTCTGCTATGCAAGAGAGAACTGCGAAAAGAGGAAAAGTCCAGAGTCTGTCTGTGTGATTTGACTATATTAGTTTTTGTTTGTTTCTGAAACTCTGAACAGATTTGGCGTAGTACTTTTTCACGTTAAGATCGCGTTCAACGATATTTAACAGAAAAGAAGAGAAAAAATTAGACACGAGCAAAACAAAGAGAAAAAGAACTGTTCTGATTTTGAGGCTGCGTGCGGTGAGTTGAGTAGAGCTTGAGTTGTGGTGCTGTGAAGAGTAGAGTATAAGGATTGAGGGTAAGAAGGCAAAGCGCATCGATTTCGGAAAGAGGACTCTCTTTGAATATCTTGAACGAAATGCGTGCGAAAGCAAAAAAATAAGAAATGAATAAAACAAAAAAACATATTTATGTAACCAAAACCCAAAGTTACGGAAGTTTTTTATAAAGAGTTCGTGAACTTCTGATCGACATAGCTTTTCAAAAATAATATGATAAATAATATATATAAATAAATAAATAAATAAAAATAAATAAATATAGGAAGAAAATTGTTAATATTAAAACATTAGGAAAGAACAAAGATTATTATAACAAGATGTTCGCATTAATATATTAACCAAAGTTGGAAAACGACTGCCTGCATCATAGACTTAAGTTATAGAAATTTGAACACGAGACGAGAAATTTTTGCAGATTATTTTGCCTTGCTTTTTTCTGAGTAAAAGAAAAAAGTGATTTTAAGACTTTTTTTTGGCTATTTTCTTTACTTTGTTTATTTAAGCAATTAATGCAATAATACTTAAATAAAAGCAAAAAAAAGCTCTGGAGAAGTAAAAATTAATATAACGGAGACTCGCTTTTTTTTTGATTTCAATGTAAAACAAAAAAATTTTGTCATTGTCTGCAATTGCATACGTGCACATGTGAAGATTTTTCGAGAAAAGAACTTTGCCAGCAAAAGTGAAATTCGAGACAAATTTTTTCGTAGATACCTAAGGTTCATACATATGAATAATTATCAAATAGGATTCAAATATTTTATTTTATAAACAAATCTGGAAGAAATCGAAAGCAACAAAAATGTACACAATTGAAAGCAGTTGAAACAATAATAAAAAAAAGGAATTTAACGAAAACTTAATTGATACCGATACCGCAGAAAAAAGGGGGAAAACGAAATTGGGATTGGGAAAATAATTTCATTATTTTTTTTTTTTTTGATTTTATAAGAAACCATTAGAAAAAGAAAATGAAAACAATGAAGAACATTTTTGGCGAGGAATTAGTGAGTGTTGTGCTGTCCGGGGGTTACAGTTTGTGCTGTCAAGCATCGGACAAGTTGACATGAATGCTTTATTAAAGACGATATAAAAAACGAAACGACATATTTTCATTTAACGAATCAATTGTGTTAAAAAAAAAACAATTTATAAAAAGAAGACAGCCCGAATATTGAACAATAGAGAAAATAACCATTAATTTAATAATAATCTCAATTATATAAAACGAGAAAAGCAAAAATAGATCACCATCCATCAGTCCCAGTCCACAAACAGGCAAATGCATTATTATTGGCCGTGAAAAGTCTACCGTACAAGCTGAACGACGGGCGGTAATATCAGCAAATACGAAGGAAAATCGCGAGAGGAACTCACGCTTATTACCAATGGTATGGGAAACGAAGCTTTAATGCAGCGTCAACGTACGTATATTTATTAAAATTTATTGAAAATTTAACGAAATGCAAATATCAAAGGAAAAAGATATATAAAAAGAATAATTTACTTATGATTCCATTAAAAAAAAAATAAATAAATACTAAATATGCTATTATTGTGAAGATGATTT